ATTTAAGATCATTTTAGTGAAAGTTTCATGTTCCTATCTCATAGAATTTAAGAACAATGATGAATAAATAATTTTCGAGCAAAATTTAAATGGCCGGCTGAATATATTACCGCAGGAGCCGCGGCCGCGGAATTTAAATGACAACGTCAAAGGGTTAGGAAAGCAAGATATATTTTAGGTTGTTTACAGTATGTCCATTTCATATGTTACCATCCTTTCCAATTGAAATTAGGTTTAGGTATACGGAGTCTTTCTTGAAGGACCAAGAAATTGTGTACTCCACATCATTATGCATGGCCATATGTGCAAAGTCTCGTGCATGTGACTGTGTATGTCTTGAATATCTGAACTGTGAAGCTTACCACCCATATCCATCTTACTGATCTTAAAAGTTCATGAAGCCTTCTGTGACTCTACTGCGTTGTAATGTCTTCATAGCATTTTAATTAAACATAAGGAGAAATTTACCTGTAAGATTTGAGGCTTTCACGGCAGTGACTATGAAGAAAGCAGTCTTTTGGGATTTGGCACCGTGTATATGTGGTGTTAACCGACGTTCCTCCGAAATGTCGGTTAACACCACATATACACGGTGCCAAATCCCAAAAGACTGCTTTCTTCAGAAATTTACCTGCTCAGATTAATGCAAAATTTGAAAATTTTGTTTAAAACTTATGTTTTGTCACATTTTTTTATGAATTGTAATATGGTTGACATAGTTCTACTTATCTCAGTAGTACAAATACACCCTTCACTGTATGTTTAAACATGTTAATTTACATTGATAGAGGATATTCTGTGACTACTATAACAGACTCAGATTTGGAATATTTCTCGGCTAGGGTTTGTTAGAAATCAGTGATGGGTTTGTGAAGAGTTTAAGGAGCAGCGACAGATTCTGATGAAGGTGACAGTGTTGGTCCCTGAAGTGTTGGTCATGTTTAACTAACTGACATGGCTGATAGCCGAAGAAGTTTTTATTAACTTTAGCTGTTGTTGAAATCATCAGATTTTACATTAAGAAACTAACTTTTCAATAGTCTGTATGGAACTGAATTTAATAACAGGTTGAGAGATTTGATGTGAATACAGACAGCACTGGGAAAAATGCTTCAAGTTAACACTTTGCGGACTAGTGGCATATTTTTATGCCAAGCGCTTTTAAACATGGCAGACCAGTGGCATATTTTTATGCCAAGCGCTTTTAAACATGGCAGACCGGTGGCATATTTTTATGACTTTAGGACACGTTAGATTGTAACACACTATACCTTCTCTGGCACCACCCAAATGAAATGACTACTGCATAATATTATTCCGGAATGTTGGCTTAGTAGGCAGTAACTTGATCTCGCTGTTTGGATACTCCCTCCAAAGGAAAATGATCTTTGACCCTTCAAGCTCTTAGGTACCAGGCAGGAAGTTAGTTGTGCAATGAGTCAAGGACAGAAGCGGTTGAAAACCAAACAATATCTGACTTGTTCTCTGACGAGGTATCTGACATGAGCTCTCTGATGTTCCGTCTGAGATGTAGTGATAATGATTTGACAGTGGCACTTACAGGGCCAACAAACAATTGTGGCCACAGACAATAAAAGTGAAAGTAGCTCCGATGAAAGTTCAGGTAATAAAATTGCGGGGACAGCCTCATGGGCAAAAGTAGACAAAACGCCTACTTTGGGACAGTTTACTGGAAATCCAGGGGTGAAACAAATTCCATCGCACCCAACGCAAGTGTCTGAAGTAGCAGAACTGTTTTTTGAGATAGGGATACTCGTGTTGTGAATATGATTTCCACAATTTACAATTTGAGCATGGTTGATATTCAAAGGAGACATGGACAAGTAAAGAAGCCTGTTTGTATTTCTGAGTATAATATGTTCATGAAGGGAGTTGATAGAGCTGATCAGTACTTGGCCTATTATTCTCTTCCTAGGAAAATAATAAAGTGGACAAAGAAAGTTGCCATGTGGCTTATAAATTGTGCCATTTTCAATTCATTTTTGGTTTACAAAAATCTAAACCCTGATTCGAAATTGAAATACAAAGCATTTCTGATGAATGTGGCAAAGGCCTGGGCTACAGACCAGATGGTGGTGGCAGAACCAGAGTCAGACAGACTTAGTGCGACCAGGCCCATAACTCCCACCCCACGCAGGTCTCATGTAGACACCCCTGGGAAACTCTCAGGTGATATGCGGAAACATACCCTAGTGAAAATTGCGAAGAGTGAACATTCCAAGGGGAAGTATCCTTCTAGGCAGTGCTGTGTTTGCACAGTTCACAAAAAAAAAGGAATATGACTGTCTACATTGCAAGTTCTGTGTAATGCCACTTGACAAAGGGGAATGTTTCCAGAAATGTCACACTCTCAAGCACTTCTAGAAGCATTGGTAAGTGTTCTCCAAAAATTTTAGTTCATAAAATTAATTAGGAGATTTTATATTAATTTTTAAAATGAGCAGTGCACAAGTTAGGGTAGTGGGTTAAAAAATGCCGGTCCCCAGGGTGATTTAAATATTTAAATTGCTGGGCCGCAAAGTGTTAAGAAGCACCTGGGCCATGGATAAATTTGCACCTCGGATTATTCTTTCTTACATAAGTCTCAGTTGAGTGATCACTCAAACACAAGTACTTTGTGAGACAATCAGCAAACTCATGGCAGATTTTAACATTGTAGTAATAGTCAATATCTTGTGCATTATACTACTAGCTTAGGATTTGCCTCCCCCTTTCCACCACTTCCAGACAGTTCTCTGTATAGGGAGGTGTTGTGCAATTTTCAGAAATATAATTTATACTCTACGAGAAATTCAGAGTTATATGGATATAATAATAGAAGGAAAGATGATTTTCATGTGCCAAATTGTAACATATCAACTTTTAAGAAGAATGTTATCAATATGGGTATTAAATTGTATAATAGACTGCCTTTGGAATTAAGAAAATCAGATGGACGTAAAGACTAAAAGTATTTTTACTAGATCGTCCATTCTATATATTGGATGAGTTTCTTTTATAGCAGGCATGTGCAGTGCGTTGATCGCGGCATGTTTTTTGGTCAATCTCATAGGCCTATAAGGAAATTATATGTGAAAAGCATGTAAATTCACTTGTAATATAATATGGTTATATTCAGATTTTGAAGGGACAATATGTATTAGTCATTCCTACTTTTCTGTTCTTATGTAGTTTACGTGAAAATTGCTTTACACTTGTGTTATCCTTATCACGTGACCTCTTATTTCATCACTTGTCATCAGCTGCGTGTGTTCTGATGCAAGAGTGTTTGACAGAACATGTGATTCTCTTTGTTCCCTCCCTCCAGTCAACTGTGAGTCCCCGTAAGTTGAACTAAAAAGTGAGATGTATTATTATATTAGCTGTTAGTGGAGATTTGTCGCTTTGCTGTGCATTAAACAAATACAGAGTATGGGAATGAGCTCATTGTAATCAAAGGGACAGTAAGTGCGCTGCCCATGTTATTTTATCAATTTCGAAGGCGTCTGTGTGCGTGAGTCAGATAAAACAGTTACCTCAATATAGTGGAAAGTGCAACGCCTCAGTATCCTTACCAAAAAAGGGTAATCTGGAATGCCATTATAATGCTCTCCATAGCAATAAGTATGATGATGATTTTCCACCCAAAAGTGAAGTTCATAAACTTAAGCTCAAAGAACTTAAATCGAAATTAGCTGCTCAACAACAGTTAATGCCAAAATCAAGGTCATTTTCTAAAATGCAACCAAATCATCTTTCAAGGTCAGCAATCTGATTGTTAAAAATGCAAACCTTTCACTGAAGGGGAATATGTAAAAGAGTGTTTTCTTGAAATAGCTGATAATCTTTTTAAAGGGTTTAAAAATAAGAGAGATCATAGCTACTATTCAAGAACTTCAGTTATCAAGAAACACCATTGTGTGGCGAATAGAAATGATGTGTGGAAACATAATTGAACAGTTGTTGAAAGATGTTTCCAATTGTGTTGCTTTCTCCCTCCAACTGGATGAATCTACAGACATCAGAGGCACAGCTTTTAGAACAAACATTGTGTGTTGTGTTATTTGTACCAATATTTTTGCTTAAAGTGAGGTATGACAATAGGAGGGGGTGGTAGATCACTGGCAGTTTTGACACTAAAAAGTCGATTACAACCTGTTTGAAGTTGGACATGCCTGTTTTAGAGGGACAATAGTAAGCATAGCAAAACCTCTATTCAGCAATTGAAATAGATAACAAATGGTTGCTTATAGTATCTTAATGTGATCGGTGATTGACGTGGTCATATGTAGGACTCTTGATTTACTGTAATACTCTTAAAATTCTCTCGATAAACTCATAAGGTTGGCTTGCATTTTGATTTACATATTTTATCTAATTTGATTATTTTTCTTTTTTGATAGTGTGTGTTATATTTTAATTATAGGCTAACGATGTAAAGAGTGATTATTTATTGTTGACAAATTATAATCGTTTAGGCATTTGGGCAAAAGGATTTCAAGAGTGATGTATTTAATAATGTGTTTTGTTCTTTTTGTGCTATGTTTCTGATTTTGATTTTAAATTATTTGATGTTTCATTATGAAGCTGTAGACAAACTGTATGTTGAATTTCTGGAGTCACTGCAATCCCATGGAACTGAGCAGCAGGTGTTTGATATAGTAGTTGATTTCATCCAAACATGTTCCGACAGACTGGATTTGCTGAGAGACATGGAGAAGAAGATTTCCCAGAAGGTTGTACCATTATCACATGTAAGTCCTGTGATAAGTATTGTTACTTTGTGTTTAATGTATGTACATTTTCCCCAACTATTCAGAAGTGAAATATTGTCTCTTGAACAATTGAACGATTGTAACTATACATCGTACCTATGAATGGAAACAAAGTTGCAAACAACAAAATTATTAATTTTCTTAAGTAATTACTTACTTATGGAGCTGAGCCCTTCTCGAGGAGAAGCCAAATCTGCAACTACTCAAGAATTTACCAGCATTTTATGGAACCCAAAGGTTCTTTACCATGTTCACAAGAGCCCTCCACTGGTCCCTATACTGAGCCAGATCAATCCAATCCATCCCATCCTATCTCTCTTAAGATCCATTTTAATATTCTCCACCCACCTACACCGTGGTCTTCCCAGTGGTCTTTTTCCTTCTGACTTTTCCACCAATATCCTATGTGCATCCCTTTTCTCATCTATTCATGCTACATGCCCAGTCCATCTCATCCTCCTTGACTTGATCATTCTAATTATACTTGGAGAAGAGTACAAGTTATGAAGCTCCTCATTATGCAGTTTTCTCCAACCTCCTGTCACTTCATCTCTCTTCGGTCCAAATATTCTCCTCAACACCCTCAGTCTATATTCCTCCCTTAATGTCAGAGACCATTTTCACATCCATACAGAAACACAGGCAAAATGATAGTTTGTATATTCTAATTTTTATGTTTTTGGACAACAGATGAGAAGACAAAAGGTTCTGGACTGAATGGTAGCAAGCATTACCCGAGTTCAGTCTCCTCTTAATTTCCTCCTCAATCAGATTTTGATTTGTTATCGTTGTTCCCAAATATCTGAACTGTGCCACGTTTTCAAATCTTAAGTAATTAGAATAAATAATTAACTTTTTTTATTTATTGTACTGAAAAATGGAAGAGAAACACCTCTCACACTGGAAGCTTGAGGTCAGGAACACTCTCAGTACTCATGCTCTTGTGTTTGAAGAAAATACTTTTTTTTTTTCTTTGGCACTTCAGCCCCAATTTGGGCCTTGGCCTACCTTCATGAAACTCTTTGTTTCACTTCATTTTACTAGATCTTAGACATTCAGTAGGACTCCTTGGGTGGTGATCAGCTCATTGCAAGGCCTCTACCTGTACACAAAACACAGAAAAATGCACATATACACACAGACACTAAACATCCATGCCCTGAGTGGGATTTGAACCCACAGTCCCGGCTTCAGAGCGAGCGTCGACAGTGCATGCCTTATGCTGCTTGGCTACCGTGACTGGTGAAGAAAAAACTAGGAGGTCATCATTTAATATATGGTGCTTACTGGATAATGGATATGCTTGAAGTTTTATATTTATTGTGCTGAATAACTTTATTGCATGTATTATACCATTGAAATTTATATAGATTCTATTATACAACTGAAATGTATATAGATCCTTCTTTTGAAATACATTTCCATGGGCAGATATATTACCATTTTTGTATGTTTCTGTGTTGATAATCTGTATTTGTAGTGCAGTGGATTTCAATAGTAGCTGGCAGCTTACACCTTGAAGACAGAAGAAGTATGTTCCTCTGAATTGTTGGTAACCACCTACTCTATTATATGGTGTCATGTAACCCAGATGACCAAAATATATAAAGACCATTTTTCATAACCTCTGAGGTCAGATTCTAGAAGTGGTGATGGTCTTCTTTATTCAGTCATGCCTAATTGGTTTGCTGCTTTCCATTATTCACTCTAAAAGCATCTTCATGATTTTCATGATGGTTTCTATGTCAGATGGGAGAAGAAAAAGATATTATACCATACTTCATTTTTCTCTGTCTAATTTTATAAGCATAGTAGTGAAAATGTTAAGTATTGTAATGGATTTGATCAGTGCATTGTCAGGCAAAGGCTCTGTAAACACAGTCCAACATGCAACAATAGAGGAAGCAGTGTTTTCTGTAGATTGGACCGACCCACCAATAGACTGGCTGAATGGCAATCACATGATATGTTTCCTGTGTTGCATGTCCATTCAGTGGCTATATATATATGTAGGAGTCCAGGAGAGTTCAGGGCAGTTATGAGTAGTATTAATGGCAGTAGTATGTGAACAAGCAAGCAAATAGTAAGTTTGAGGAGTAGAGAAAAGTATGAGAAGTCAACCTGTGAATATTTTTAATATGTGATTTAAAGACTTTATGTGTGCTAGAGGCCGTGCCATAGCCCAAGTGGTTAGTTGCTGGCTTCCCACCACTGCGGCCCTGGTTCGATCCTGGGTCTGGTCAAGTGGGATTTGTGGTGGACAGAGTGGCGCTGTGGCAGGTTTTCTCCGAGTACTTCGGTTTCCCATGCCAATATTCATTCCACCAATTGCTCCACAATCAACCTCACCTATCGTCTGGGGGCTGGTACAATAAGCCAGAAGTGGCCGCAGTACAAGGAACTTAGTCCCACCCCACTAGCATTAAAAAAAAAGACTATGTGTGCTATAGTACCGTGGCATTGAGGGTGTGTGATTTAAGGAGACTTTATAGGTCCTGTGTTATAAATCTGTAAAGACTAGTGGAGATACACTGAGGAGGTTAGTGTGGAGTGCTTTGTAGTGTGAAAATTAGGAACAGTGTTATAATTAATTGTAGTTACGACGTGTAAAAAAAACTCTATGAAATTAGTCCGCAAGCGAACTATACCAGACGAGCAACCACTGCTTGTCAGTGAAGTTTAGTGCCGACTTTTGCAGATAGAGGGTGTCATGTGGTCAGCGCAATGAATCCCCATGGCCGTTGATTTCGGTTTTGTAGACTGCAGCTGCTATTTCCTTAAAATAGCTCCTCAATTATCATCATGAGGCTGAGTGCACCCCGTTCCAGACCCACTACTTCTCAGAAAAAATCTGGTAGCTAGTGATGAATAAATCCAATTACCAATCTCAACCCCATCTTCATTTATTGTGACATGTGACAGTATACTGGAAACATTGAGAAGAAAGTATTTGTTTGGACGTGTAGATCTCAGAGCATGTAATACAGGCATACATACAAATTATATAGAGTAGATGGTGTTCATATGTGTCCTTTCTGCAACTCTTTGGGAAGCTTACATTTAGCAATGCTTGAAGAAGAATGTATCACTAAGTGAAGCATTTTTATAGAGATTGTTAAATCATAGGAGCATGCTTTAATGATTGTATGAGAACTGCTTAAACAAATGGATACTCTTATGTTTGGTGAGCAGGACACTGACAGCCTTTAAAAAACCATTAATAGTAAACTTTGCCACATTTTCAAAAGATTGCCACTTACCATTATGCTATGGTTCTGTCCTGGACTCTGGTATTAGTGAATATTTTCAATTATCCTTTTGTTATTTTTTAAAGAAGCACACCCTTCAACTTCTGTACTAAACTTCACAGCAAAATGATAATATAAATGTAGCTAACAAGTCCTTTACACATGTATGCTCTTCACTAAATATTGTAGGGGTGAATAGTGAAGGTGGATGAGAAGGCAGTAACATGTAAGATGCATGAGATCAGTAATGCATAAAAAATTTTTACTGGTAAATTTGAAGCCCACTTAAAGGATCTAGGCTTCGATGGGATAATATGATATTAAAATGTATCTTAAAAGAATAAGTCATGAGGATGCAGACGTGACTCATCTGTCCCAGTATGGGTGCAGTGGCCGGCTGTTGCGTTCGTGGTAATGAACCTTCAAGAACCATAGGAGATTGTGAATTTTTTGGCTAGCTGAAGAACTTGGAGGTTTTCGAGAAGAGCTTGGCTTGTTTCAATTAGTAATTAATAAGATGCAAATTAGTCACTTAATTAGTGTTTGGAGAGATGATGACTCATTAGTATCCAGTATGTTAATGAACTGTGTTGGCAGCGTGAGGAATGGCTGGAAAATGAACGAAATACTTGGCGCTTAGTGTACTGCCTCTACCAGGACCGTATTAACAGTCAGTTATTATCAGCACAAGAGCAGCTGAATGAAGAGGCAATGGATATACCACTGAGACAACAGAGTGAAAAGGAAATAGTGCAGCGGTTATATAAGGAAGATAATATGACAAGGGAGGTAAGTTTGTTCCTTATTAAGGAATATTGAGATTCAAACTCCATTCCTCTAGTCAATTGAAATGCATGCCCAATTCCTCCAGTTGCTAGGTTCTGTTGTAGGTGTATACTGAAGGACCAACTGTTAACGTCTTGAGATGATCTGAGAGGTCTGGTTTTATTTTTCTGGATTATTTTAAACAGACCAAGCAAAAGTCCAGTTGAATTTGTAAGTCTGTAGTCACCTTAACACTTTGTGGACCGGTGGCATATTTTTATGCCCAGCGCTTTTAAATGTGACGGACCAGTGGCATATTATTATGATTTTGGGACACGTTATGTTGAAACACACTATACCTTGCACTGGCGCCACCCAAATGAAATGACTACTGCGTAATATTATTCCGGAATGTTTGCTTAGTAGGCAGTAACTTGATCTTGCTGTTTGGGTTCACCCTTCAAAGGAAAATGATCTTTGACCCTTCAAGCTCTTATGTACCAGGAAGAAAGTTAGTAGTGCAATGAGTCAAGGACAGAAGCGGTTGAAAACCAAACGATCTCCCAGAGAACAAGAAATATCTGACTTGTTCTCCGCCGGTGTAGTGATAGTGATTTAGACAGTGGCAGTGACAAGGGGACAACAAACAATTGTGGCCACAGACAGTAAAAGTGAAAGTAGCTCCAACGAAAGTGCAGGTAATAAAATTGCGGGGACAGCCACACGGGGAAAAGTAGACAAAACGCCTACTTTGGGACAGTTTACTGGAAATCCGGGGGTGAAACAAATTCCATCGCACCCAACGCAAGTGTCTGAAGTAGCAGAATTGTTTTTTGAGATAGGGATACTTGTGTTGTGAATGTGATTTCCACAATTTACAATTCAAGCATGGTTGATATTCAAAGGAGACATGGACAAGTAAAGAAGCTTATTTGTATTTCTGAGTATAATATGTTCATGAAGGGAGTTGATAGAGCCGATCAGTACTTGGCCTATGATTCTCTTCATAGGAAAATAATAAAGTGAACAAAGAAAGTTGCCTTGTGGCTTATAAATTGTGCCATTTTCAATTCATTTTTGGTTCACAAAAATCTAAACCCTGATTCGAAATTGAAATACAAAGCATTTCTGATGAATGTGGCAAAGGCCTGGGCTGCAGACCAGATGGTGACGGCAGAACCAGAGTCAGACGCAGACTTGGTGCAACCGGGCCCATAACTCCCACCCCACGCAGGCCTCATGTGGACACCCCTGGGCGACTCTCAGGTGATATGCGGAAACATACCCTAGTGAAAATTGTGAAGAGTGAACATTCCAAGGGGAAGTATCCTTCTAGGCAGTGCTGTGTTTGCACAGTTCACAAAAAAAGGAGTATGATTGTCTATATTGCAAGTTCTGTGTAATGCCACTTGACAAAGGGGAATGTTTCCAGAAATATCACACTCTCAAGCACTTCTAGAAGCATTGGTAAGTGTTCTCCAAAAGTTTTAGTTCATAAAATTAATTAGGAGATTTTATATTAATTTTTAAAGTGAACAGTGCACAAGTTAGGGTAGTAGATTTAAAAATGCTGGTCCCCAGGGTTACTTGCCAGTCTGCAAAGTGTTAAGGAGATATTGTGTTGTGTTATATCTCAGGTTTTCTTAAAGCAGAAATTCATTTGTTCTATTCCTTTTTAATATGCTGCAAATACAACTTCATATGATACAAACTTGTCACAAAGCTTGGTGCCAAAAATACACTGTCTTCGATATCAAGTTGGTTGTAAGATTTCATAAGTTGATGGGAAACAGAAAGGGCCGTGGTTTCTTCTGATGCTACAAATTAATCTTCAGTAATATATAGGAGGATAGTATTAAAATGGATCTTAGAAACTAGGAAGTAGATTGAATTCAGCTGGCTCAGGATTGTGTAGCGTACCAGACTCTTGTGAACACAGTATTGAACCTTCAGATTAAACAAGATGAAATTTCTAGACTAGCTGACTGAGCTGTTTGCTTCAGAGGAAGGACTGTGTTAGGAAAGGGAAGCATGCTTCTGAGGTTACTGTGCCCTGAATTTTGTATTGAGTGTGATTTTGTTATTGATGTTCCAAATATTTAGAAGAGTTATAAAGTTCAAAATTTGTTCAAGTATCCTAAAAGATGGAATGTGCATCCTATTTTTAAGAATCTGGCATTAAGACTGAAACTACCAGAAATGATTATCATAATATAGGTAACTGATTAATTTCTGTATAAGTGCATCCCCCCCCCCAAGGTGTTTGTACACTTGCGAGACTGACTTATAATGAGATCTTTTATTGCAGTGTCAGCTAGTAATTGATTGGTTGGAGCAGAATGCTTCTGATCAGTCACGAGAAGAAGCACGCCTTAAACATTTCACAGACAAAACCATTGCGTGGGAAAATACACTTCATCAGTTACAGGTATTATTCTCAACATTTTGCATATTGTGCAGCCATGCCTCACTTTCCTTCGGCACTATTGCTGCATGCCTCAGGAATTGTCATGCTGAATAGTACAAGAGAGAACCATGTTCCTAATACAAGCATGTATGTTGAAAATAAGTTATTTTAAATGATTGTGTTATCACTCTTCATAAATATGAATTTTCTTTAGTAGGGAATGAGTCTTTAATCATCAGTTAGATCAGATTGTGACAGGTCTGGCTGAACCTACTTTATTAGCAGGAAACTGAATAAGACAAACATTTTTATTCATATGTGCATGAGGCACCTTTAAAGAGAAACCCAGTTCCACACACTTAATTTTTTGGCCATGCAGTACAACTCATTTTTCGGTATGAACATCTCAGAAAGAAAAGAATTACTTTGTTTGGTGACATTGTTTCATATCACTGTTACAGCATGTCAGAAATGGAAAACAATATTACCTTCTTTGCTTTATTTTGGCACAAAAAATAGACCGAAAAATGCATCGTTACTGAATATTGATCTTAAGACATGGGGTTTGTCAGTACCATTCCTCTCCTACTGAAAGCTCTCATTATGAGGCAGACATGGCAATAGGCACAGTCATTGAAATATGTTAGAAGTTTACATTTACTTGCTAATCTCCTACAAACGTTGTCAACATAATTGCTGTTATTAATGTTTTCTTATTTTCTTTCAGAATCAGTCAACAAATATACCTTATGGGAGTAGCCGGCCCATAGTATCCACGCTTGATCCAGATGCACCATTGAGAGAAGGCAAGCCTCTTCATGACATTGATATGGTTTGTTTGTACTCTGCTTTACAATTATTAATGCCTTATGTTGGATTGTCGAATGTATGGGCGTGTCAGTTTTACAGAATATTTATTTTTGTTTATCCTGTTGCAAAAATTACTGTGTTAGCTCAACTCAAATATGGCCTCAGATATGAAGACAAATCCCATTCCCAGTGGTAGATATTGAGGAAGAATAATGTCTTTACTTCTTCAGTTCTTCCTCTTCTGATTATATGTTATGCAATTTGCTACACACACTGGCCTCAAAATACCCTCCTCGATCTTCCTTTTACTCCCAACCCATAGTACTTTACTTCTGTGCCATCTTTGGCTATGTGCCTTCACCCATTCTACATGGGTTTTTGATCTCTCCTGTAAATCCAGGTAAAATTAATAATTATGCTTTTGCACTCTTCCATTGCTGTACACTGTCTTTAGAAGTGCCGTATTTCGTCTGTGTTGTGCAATTGTGATGTCATCATCATGTATAAAGGTAAAGGTAAAGCTATCTCTGTAACAGCCTGTGGAGGCCCATAGTGTTGTGAGACGTTGAGGCTCCCACATTTTCTAGAAATTCAGCTCGCAGATGCTGAGGTTGTCACCTGAGTACTCAAATTCATGATTGTAGTTTTATGATGCTTGGGGCAAACGGGTCTTGTTACAGGGATAGCTTTACCGTTTATATATATTTTTTGGAATGCAAATTTATGACTGTATATATATACGTATTAGATGTTTGTGGTCCTTTTTAAGATTTTATTGTCTTATTTAAGAACTTGTGCTATTCCATGAGAGTCGTAAGTGAAGAATCAAGAAAGGCAGATGAATGTGTCAAGGTTGAAAGTCATAAGATTGCCCAAATATCACCTAATTTGGAAACAGGAGATAATTTGCTAGTTTATATTACAAGATTCTTTGTTAATGCAACTGTTCCTCATCATAAAAATGGCAGAACTTGTCAAGAAAAGAGGCACTGCTGCAAAAGAGAATAATGTGTCAAAAAATATCAGGCTTCACAGTTATGATTTGTACTTCAAGATTGTGGTGATATTCATTCGAAACAAACCAAACATCTCTGAAGCAGCAAGAAAATACAGTGTCTCCTGAAGCAAATTTCTAATGGTGGAAACAACAGAAAAAGGAAATTATGCCAATGTTATGTGAATATTGTCTCTTTAAATTCAAAGAATGGATGTCAGTTTCATGCAACAACTGTAAACTTGATTGGCAGAAACTGCAGTACAGCACAGCTGGCGTATACAGTGATGTTGAGGAACAGGGTTTCTGGTGGGCTATACTATAGCTCAGGCAGTTAGTTGTTGGCTGCCCACTGCAGTTGCCCAGGTTCGAGCCTAGGTCAGGTCATGTGGGATTTGTGATGAACAAAGTGGCACTGGGGCAGGTTTTCTCCGAGTACTTTGGTTCCCCCTGCCACGTCATTCCATTGACTACTCCACATTCATCATCTGTCTTATGGGGCTGGTACAATAGGCCAGTTATTGGCCGACGTACCAAGTGCACTGACCCCACCCCAAGAAACTAAACAAAACTAAAGGCAGGGTTTCTATATAACAAAGAATGTCTCTTGGTAATTTGATTGTAATGTCAGAGTATTTCAGTATGTCATCCAGTTACACAGTCAATGGTGTAGATATATAAGAATCAAGTGACTGCAGTGCTGGAGGAGTTGATAGGTAATGGTCACTGTATATGATATTGCATTGGAAAACTGTGCCTCAGACCCTGCTACCTGGGGGGGCTAATAATTGGGTGTTAAGAATGTCTAAAGGTACTGATGTGGGGCTGGTTAAGAGATGTGGAGTAGGAGATGAAGGGTGTTGTTTAGAAAACAAGGAATGCTTGATCAGTTAACAGCAATGTATATTTTCTACAGTTTGAAGGACATCCTGATATGATCTCCTAGCTAGGTGATGCACCTCCATATTTTAATAACACTGTGGCAATCACTGTATGCTCAATTTTGGAATAAATGGATGGATAGTGGAGAACTGTTGTCCTAGGCTTTCCATTCAGCTGATCAGTATAAGATTGAAAATAAAACTGAGTATTTGTTGTGTTGACATAATTCCTATATATATATATAGGAATCATGTCACCGTCAACACAACAAAAACTGTTAGTTTTTGTGGGGGGAGGGGGTTATGGAAAGGATACAGAGTTCTCAAAAGTGACATTCGTACAACAGATACAAGTAAGAATGTTGGATCTACAGGTACAGTCCCCTGAGGTCGCTTGGACCACAGATGACTCCATGTCATAAGCTGGATATATGTATTCATGAAGTTGAGTTGTGTAATGTAAGCTTGTTGAGCCCATTTCATTAGTTATTAAGTATAATTTTTGTAAGATTGTGTGCTTAGGTTGAAATGTTAGACGGCTGGCCGGAAGGCAAGGAGACAGAACCGCGGCTGACTCTTCGCATTCCTTGGCAGTCGATCGAATTGTTTTTAGAAAAGACTGTTCAAGCATCAGTGGAAAGACCCGGTCAGGTTTCGCTTAGCGCAACAAGGCATGTCTGGCAAGATGCCGACCTCAGGGATTTCGCACGCGCAGCTTTCGTAACTTGGGAAAAAGCTGAATCTTGGAATTGAGAAAACAGGCCGTTTCAGGCACTCTGTTTCTAGCAGTTGCCAGAAACGAACGAGTAGAGCAAAGTGTGCCTGTGGAAAACCTTGGGATGGCGCCAGTGTTCTTCATGTGCATCATGTTTAGCGCGAGTGAGTACTTGCCCGTGGTCGGGTCGCCGATGACTTATTAGAACTTCTGGTTTCAATTATTTTGGTGGGTTAATGTGTTTGTTTGAATTTAGAGGTGTATAAGTGTTTTAATTTGATTATATATTCCATTTTTGTTGTTGTTTGGAGAACTCGAGTTTTTGTGACCCTCCTAGTGAAGCATGTTTTCCACAGCATAGGTTAAGTGATATCCACGGACGTCCAATAGGGGGTGAGTTCAGTCACTGCCCCCTATCAGGGCACAACAAATTGGTGGCAGGCGGCGCGATGTTGTTATTCTGCTCGAATTACCGGGCTTACGCACCGGAGATGGTTAAGAGATTTTAGGAGACGTGGATAACTTTTAACCACCCACAAGTTTAAGTGACAGTGTTTTGATTTATGTGTTGCCGTAACTAGACATACGGATTTGTAGGGATCAAATATGTTTGCCGTGGCGCTGTGACCCATTTTATTTTTAAATTTGTATTAAAATTATTTTTAAGGGAAGATGCATATGTTTATAAATTTAAGCAGTGAGTGGTCGAACTTGAGTGAGAATTGCTTTTGAAAGGAAATTGTGGGAGACCTACGAACATAGTTTAGCTTACAGTAGATACACGGAGGCCTTTTGGCGTGAAGCATGGCTCGTGTGGGGGAAATGGAGGTTCTCCAAGCACAGATGGAGGAACTATGGGTTCAATTGGAAACCCTCAGAATTGGGGAGGCCCACAGAGGGCAGAGCAAGGACGTTTCACTTGTAGCCGGGATAAAGGAATGGACAGGGGAAAGTAAGGGGAGATCTGTATACGAGTTTTTAACGCAGATAGAGACATTGGCCAAGGTGAGTGGATGGACTAGCCACGATAAAGCTTTCATTGTTAAGGCTAAATTGCAAGGGTTGGCCCTGCAGTTCTTGAATGGAAGGGAAGAGCTAGGTCGAGATGGATGTTCCTACGAAGTTCTGAGGCAGGCACTGATTGAGAGGTTCAGTGACAAGCTCCCTGACCAGTATTACTATACTAGACTACAGGACGCGGTTCAGGGGAAGAACGAAAGCGCGGAGGAGTTCAGTGACCGTTGTAGGAAGATGTGTCAAAGAACCATCAGGAAGGTTAACGACGAAGGGACCCAGCGTATAATTAATGAGGAGGCGGAACGTAGATTGTTGGCAGCCTATGTTCACGGTCTTAGGGGCATAGTGGGGCAACAAGTACAATTTCAGATGCCCAGCACGATGGAGCAGGCGGTGAGGTTAGCGGTCACAGTAGAAAACGTGGAGAAACACAAACAGCTAACCGAAGGAGTCAAGAAGGTATTTACCGCTAGGAGCGACGTTGAATGTTTCCGTTGCGGGAAAAGAGGGCATTATGCTAGGGATTGCTGACAAGAAACCCCCTCCATGACGTCAGGTCGGAGGTCGTGGCGAGATCAGAGCTCTAGGCGGAGGGGCCCACCCTCCCGCGACCTTATGCTCACTCAAGGATGTAGAGGAAGGGTCGGAGCAGGCAGGCAAAGCTTTCGGGGACCAGCGCGGCCTTGGGGCCCACCTGAGGACACTCGCTCATCAGGCATCCAGTGCTGCCATTGTAATGAGTTTGGGCATAAGCGTAGAGACTGCCGAAAATTTTCTCGAGCTGCCCAGCACCCAAACGGTCAGGGTTCGACGTCCAGATCCCCAGCGTCGAACCAGCAATAGAGTGCACGACGGTAGGTCGGTCGCACGTAGGAATTACTGGCCCAGAGTTGTTGCTAGAAATAGAAATAGAAGGAAGTTTCCACCAGGTGTTAGTAGATTCAGGAGCCAGCCTGAGCGTGATGAAGCCGGGAATTAATACGTCAGATATTCGTGCTACACGGACAGCCGCAAGAGGGATCACGGGAGCTAAATTGAAAATAGTAGGAGCGCAGTTGATAACATTTAGGGTGGGGAAAAAGATGTTTACCCACGAGTTTTTGATAGCCCCCCTAGATACGGAATATAGTGGTGTTCTAGGGGCTGATGTCCTCAGACGGATGTTGGCGTGTATCGATTTATGAACCGACACGCTAGTCCTAGGACGGACACGCCATCAGTTATCAGGGCAGGAGGTCGAGCGGTGTGCGCCAGTCCACCGCCAATGCCGGACGACACAGAGGGTGTCACCAGCGGGCTTGGCCAGCCCAAGGTTGACGCCTTCGGGTGGACTGATTGAAGTACCTACCCCAGGGTTGAGCCCAGGAGGATCCTGTATAGATTGTTGGAACGTGGTGGCTCAGGAGCCAATCGTCATCCCCCCGTTGTCTGAGGGACTGGTAATAGGGAAAATAGAGAGGAGTAAAGGGGTGGAGTTGCCCCGGGAGACATTAATTGAGCCCTTGGGATTAGGTACGCCGGGTGCGTACGTGGCTAGAGTAGCGAGCCGGATTTTTACTGCAGGAGAATTGGAGGAAATGCGAAGCCTAGGCGGAAATGACAGGAAATCTGGTACCAGTGGAAAGAGTGAGAGGCTCGATAGGGTCATGACCGTACGAGAGGATAACGGGCCTAGGTACTGCGTATTAAAGGTGTTGAATACCCGTGGTCAATATTTGGAGTTGGGGAAGAATATACGCTTGGGACAGGCCGAGCCGCTGGGGGAGATTCCAACCGAGCAAGCAGGAGTTGATTTTCGCTACCCGGGGAGGAAGGGAACGGCGAACTTCCGGGTTAGTTCCGTTAGCACAAGAGATGCTCAGGAACTCAGGGAAGTAAGGGAGAAACTAGAGCAGAAGTTAGATCACTTGTCCGAAAAAGATAAACAAGTCTTGTTACCAGTGCTTGAAGAATATTTAGATTTATTTTGTAATGACAGCACAGGGGTGCTACCCACTATGACGAAGGGCTATCACGAGATTCGGACAGGGGACGCCCTGCCGATTAAGAAGAACCCATATTGTATACCCTATGCATTAAGGGAAGAGATGAGACGCCAGCTAGATAAGATGTTGGCTAAAGGGGTTATTACTCCCTGCGCTTCGCCATGGGCGGCGCCAGTGATTTTAGTCCCCAAGAAATCACCGGATGGAATTCCAAAATATAGATTTTGTACCGATTTTCGAGGGTTAAATTCAGTGACGAGTACACCAGTGTACCCCATACCTGATATCAAGAGCAACCTCTCACTTATGGCGGGGAGTAGATATTTCACTTTATTGGACATCGAAAACGCGTATTGGAGTATTCCTATACGGGAGGAGGATAAGGATAAGACCAGATTCGTCACCCCATTCGGTAGTTTTAGGTACGAGAAAATGGCCTTTGGTCTTTCAGGCGCCCCTTCGACATTTCAACGCGTCATGGATGCCATGTTGGTGGGGTTGCGTGACGTAGAGGTACTTGTATATTTGGATGACTTGTTGCTGTTCAGTGAAACGATTGAAGATCACATGAGACGAATGAAGTTGGTGTTTGAACGCGTGCGAGAGGCGAATTTCAAATTAAGCGTCGCCAAATGCACTTTCGCAGTTCCGGAGGTGGTATATCTCGGTCATGTTGTTAATAGCAACGGCGTTGCGCCAGACCCGAGTAAAGTTACAGCCATCAGAGAATTCCCACGGCCAAGAACGGTGAAAGATGTCCGCTCATTTTTAGGCCTATCCGGATATTATAGGGCTTTTATAAGAAATTACGCAGCCATGAGTCGGCCCTTAACTCAACTAACGAGAAAAGACGAGAAGTTTGTTTGGACAGATTCCCAGCAACTGGCCTTCGATGATCTCAAGGCCGCCCTGACATCCGAATCGGTGTTGGCGCACCCTCGGTTTGATCAGCAATTTATTCTTAGTACAGATGCTTCTGATTATGCTATTTCTGCCATTTTGAGTCAGCTGCAGAATGGGAAGGAACGGCCTATCAGCTTTGCTAGCCGTATGCTCAATGCTGCGGAAAGAAATTACAGTACGACTCAGAAGGAGTTACTAGCTGTTGTATTTGGTACACAAATACATAGGTGTTTTCTATATGGGAGAAAATTCAAAATTGTTACCGATCATGCCGCCCTTAAGTGGCTGATCACGGTGAAGAACCATCATTGTGCCCGATTGACTAGATGGGTTCTCAAATTATCTGAATATGACTTTGAAATTGAACACAAAGCAGGCAAGAAGCATGTAATTGCGGACTGCCTATCGCGCCATATTGCTTCCGTTGCTACAGGAGCCACAAGCCGGAGATGTCAAAGTGCTGAGTCAGGCGAAACCCTCACTCGTAAGACTGTTTACACGGGACAGCAACAGGATCCGTATTGTAAGGAAATAATGGATGAAATTAGTACAGATACGGGGTCAAAATTCTTTATGAGTGACGATGGGCTTCTGTATGCGGGACCAAATTTGGAAAACGGAAAGTTGGTTGTACCTCATAATTTGATACAGCCCATTATCGAAATGCATCGTGATAAGGTGTTTGCAGGGCATCGGGGTGAAACGGACCCGAGACTTAATTAAACTTAATTACTTTTGGCCCAATATGGACCGGGATGTGGAAACGTACGTGAGGCAGTGCGAATAGTGTGCCAAGTTTAAGGTAGGGCGACACCCCACTGCACCCTTGGGAGAGTTACCTGAGACGACCTCCCCAATCGAAATGACCTCCATAGATATATGTGGCCCTTATCCAGAAACAAAGAAGGGAAATCGGTACCTTCTTACTTTCATAGACCACTTTAGCCGTTATCCGGAAGCTATCCCCATACCCCGGCAAGACGCCCCGACAGTTGCGCGGGCTCTTGTTACGGAGATATTTTCACGGTTGGGTTGTCCTCAGGCTCTATCATTGGATAAAGGATCCAACTTCATGTCGGAACTTTTCCAGGAGATGTGAAGCTGCTGCAGGTTAAAAGAATTAACTCCACTGCGTTCAATCCGCAGATGCAAGGCAAGGTTGAGAAATTTCATCTGGGACTCAACCAAACTATGAGCCACTATGTAAATAAGTATGGGAATGACTGGGATGAGTTCGTGAACTACGCCCTGATGGTCCATAGGGCCATTGCTCATTCCATTACTTGATACAGTCCCGTTTTACTTGCTACATGGACGTCAGATGCGCCTTCCCATGGAGGATGACCTCACTACTGGAAAATTTTTAAAGGGGGAACCGAAAGATAACCGTAGTTTGATTCAGGACCACATTGACACTTTGGCTGACCGCCTCGAGGAGGCGTACCGTGTTGTAAGGGAAAATAATAAGATGGGCAGAGAGAGACAGAAGGAATGATATGATAAGGGAACCAAATTAGTTATTTTCCAACCCGGTGAAATGGTTTATCTTCGTCAGATGAGCAAGGTCAAACGTGGTTGTCCAAAATTTAGGCTTAGGTGGAGGGGCCCATACGAGGTGGTACGTAGATTGTCCGATTTGAATTATCTTGTGCGAGTATCCCAAAAGAAGGAGCTGGTGGTAAATGTTAACAAAATGAAGAAATGTTGCGTGAAAACTGTCCCCGCGCCAAGTGGGACAAGGGATATCCCAGTAAGGGTTCAGGAAAGAGACGAAGGTCAGGATGAGGCGAACGATGAGGGAATAACTCCACTTGCCTCCCATGATCACGTGGAGGATGATGGTAGCTTCGACTTTACGCCAACCACTTTGACAGGCGAGAGGACCGAGGATCGAAGTCAGGACCCCACCTGGGAACCAAGTAGACATCAGGAGGTTCAGAGAGCCACCGACAAGTCACCCGACACCGGAAGGGAAACGGGGGCTAGGTACTGGTTACGGAGTAGGCGAGGGGAAGACACACTGGCGTCCGATGGGACCCCGACAGAAAGAGAAGTTGAAGTGAGTGACCCCGAGGAAACGGACGCTGAGCCCCGCCTGAGCGGATTACCTGAAACAGGGAACGTCCCGGAACACGAGGAAGGCACTGACCAACGACCATATGCGTCCCAGACAGCGATTCGTTCGGCTGCACGCACAGTCCCAGCTATGGACTCAGGGGTGACCAATCGCTTTGGCNAAATATACACCACAGCCTCCATTTATAAAGTGCAATATATCTGTTTGACGAGAGCCACTCTATACTTCGTTATTTATGTTTGCATTTTACGAATGATCAACTGGTAATGTTTGTGGGGCTGGGATTGCAACCGTAACGTGTATCATGGCCATCATGGCATTCATAAATTTTGGTGCCCAAAACCGGAAGTGTATTACCGCAAAGTAGGTTGTTGAGCCCATTTCATTAGTCATTAAGTATAATTTTTGTAAGATTGTGTGCTTAGGTTGAAATGTTAGACGGCTGGCCGGAAGGCAAGGAGACAGAACCGCGGCTGACTCTTCGCATTCCTTGGCAGTCGATCGAATTGTTTTTAGAAAAGACTGTTCAAGCATCAGTGGAAAGACCCGGTCAGGTTTCGCTTAGCGCGACAAGGCATGTCCGGCAAGATGCCGACCTCAGGATTTTGCACGCGCAGCTTTCGTAACTTGGGAAAAAGCTGAATCTTGGAATTGAGAAAACAGGCCGTTTCAGGCACTCTGTTTCTAGCAGTTGCCAGAAACGAACGAGTAGAGCAAAGTGTGCCTGCGGAAGACCTTGGGATGGCGCCATTGTTCTTCCTGTGCTTCATGTTTAGCGCGGGTGAGTACTTGTCTGTGGTCGGGTCACTGATGGCTTAGTAGAACTTTTGGGTTACATTATTTTGGTGGTTTAATGTGTTTTTAGACGGTAGAGGTGTATAAGTNTTAATTTTATTATATATTCCATTTTTGTTGTTGTTTGGAGAACTCAAGTTTTTGTGACCCTCCTAGTGAAGCATGTTTTCCACAGCATAGGTTAAGTGATATCCACGGACGTCCGATAGGGGGTGAGTACAGTCACTGCCCCCATCAGGGCACAACAAGCTACTATTCTTATTATTTACAAAGCCTGATATGACTGTTATACATCTGTGTTTGCTGTAGGAGGATGAGTCTCGTCTGGTAAAGGAAGTATTTGTACAGATTCGCTGTGGACAGTTAGAGGAAGCTCAGATGTTATGTATGCATACCGGGCAAGAGTGGCGGGCAGCAGCTCTGGAAGGTTGGCGACTGCATCATGACCCCAATTATGAGACAGCGAGAGGAATTGATGAAGTGGATAAGTTGCCAATAGAGGGAAATCCTAACAGGTAATCATATATCGAACCAAAGTATGATCAGTCTCATGCTTTGTTTATCCATAAACTATCATCTGTATAAGAATGCTGACTTCCTTCACCTGGATATGTATGTTTGTGGGTCCTTTATGTTGTAAGAATCTGTATACTGCATTATTAAGGATGAATCCATTTATCCATACATGAAGTTTTGAAATCACTTGTTATGTACTCAACTTTTTATATTCACATTTCTTTACAATTGTTTTTGGTTTCTCTCATATCTGTTGTCTATTCTTTGTAATGTGAGGAAAATTAGAGTAGCAAACTTTGGAGAGAACTGTACCCTATATTTGCTTCAAACTGTATCATTATGTATGGTAATAAATACTTTCTGTCCTCCACACCATGTGTTGAAACTCACACATCTACAACACAATGTTCATCAATCAAGATATGATAATACAGTTAGCAAGAGATGTGGTTTTGTCTCTCTGTTTGTCTAAGAACTAATACATTTGCCAGTACTCAGATTGTGTAACCATTACATATGGTACAACAGTATGAATGGCTGTAAATTGAAAAATAGAAATCCATATTTTCTCTTCTGGGCTTATGCCATTCTAGTCCTTTAGTACTTAATTTCGAATAGAAAAATTGCTACACACGATTGAGACTACTCCTACATAGTGGGTTGGTGTTGACTAGAAGACCATGATCTGTACAGGACCTCAGAATGGAATATATAACAAATGTGATAGAAATTTTGTGACTGCCTTGAAAAATTTCTTGTATTCCCATTCGTTTTATATATTGGATGAGTATTTTAAATACAAGATGAACTAAACTCTTCATAATGCTGTTTATATGGTATATTGTATAAAAGACTTTCAGTTGGTATTGGTATATATATTTTTAAGAAATGAGCTTAATAATTAATAATAATAATTAGTATGTAGTTGATGAATTGTACATGTTGGTTAAATTACTGAATTGTATAATTATCATTCCTTTTATGAATATAGCTGTAAGAGGACTAGTTTATGTTCTCAGAACTAATACACAGAGATCAAAAAGTTGCGCACATCAAACTGAAAGTTGTTAGTATTGCAGTTAATATAATTATATCCTACCGCTAGATGGTACTGTAGGAGTACTAACAACAAGTAAAAAACGCCATCTGTCATGTATAGGTCATGCGACGTCTGCAGTACAGCTTTGTTTATTGCGTGATAGAGTTGTCCTTCCCAAGAACAATGAGTTTTCATTGTGAAACATTATTTTGCCGGGTTTTCTTCACTGACAAAGCATGGTTTCACCTTAGCGGCTACGTGAACACTCAAAACAATAGGATTCGGTCATCTGAAAATCCATATGTTACATGAAAAGCCCTTGCACTGTCAGAAAATTGGAGTGTGGTGTGTTGTATCACATCTTCGAATAGTGGGCCAAATTTTCTTTGAAGCAACAGTGAACAGTCCAGCGTACCAAGACATCATTACACAGTTTATTGCACTTCTTGAATTTGATGAACGGAGTGCTGGTTGCAGCAAGCCATGTCACACATCTTATCAAACCATGATGCAGTTCTTGCGCGAGTTTTTCAGTGACCATCTCATTTCAAAAGGATTGTGGCCCCCGTTATCACCCGATTTGTCACCCGCAAATTTTTTCCTTTTTGGGGTGTCTCAAAGGAATTGTCTATAAAAACAATCTGCATACCCTGCTTGACCTCAAGAGGAATATTACGATGGCAATTAACCGTTCAGCGTGGTTTGACGTGTATGTTTTGTCAAGGTATTTAAATCGTCTGCGGGAGTTTGACGTCTATGTATCGTCCAGCTGCACACCTATGTTATAACGCCCATAATAATTGATGGTTTTGCTGTAGATTGTTAGATTTTTCGCTGGCCTGTTTTCAGAAGAACAGTATATAATGAAACATGACTTTAGCTGCCTTAAGTCATCGTTACATATGCCTGTCTTGCAGCAAAATCCTGTTGCTCTTGGAAGAGGTTTCCTCATTCAAACTGTTATGAATGGCGTGTTTTCTTTCCTATGAAGTTATAAACAGCAGAGACGTGATATGTGCTGTGTTTATAATATCATATTGCCCTGAGCTGGCCACACTAACACACTCAATTAGAATTCTTAGAAGAGGGATGTCCAGAAGTTTATTTTTGCAAGATCCATTGATTTCACACAGTACATAGCAGCCAGTTCTTAGAATAACGTCACGAACACTGTGGTCACCCCCTGTGATGATGGGTGTGTGTGTGTGTGTGTGGGGGGGGGAAAGAACTCATTCATTCATGTATTATCGCTCCAGTCGACTCCATTTTATCCTACTGACCTTGGTGGTCGTTTCGAGGGATGACCATAAATATTTTTTTTTGAACCAGCTAAGCTCTGCTTTCGTGCACTACATACCAGCCAGTTCTTAGAATAACTCCATGAATTCTGTGGTCACCCCTCTGACATCTGCTGCAGCCAAAATGGATGGAATGTAAAACGCATAGCACCAACCACTTGTTATGATAACATAAAGGTTGAATTTACTGCAGCTGATCTGGCAAGCTATACAACTCACGGAAAGACATTTCCTCGTATTCCCCCTTTGAGAAGAAGACAAAGACCGCACAGAAGATGTTTTGTTTACGGAAAAAAGAGCCAAATGAGAGATACGCAGTATTGGTGTGGTGAATGTGAGACAGCGTTGTGTATAGGAGAATGCTTCAATGCGTACCATACTCTGCTCAAATTCTAAACCACCTGCTTCCATTGCCGAGATACCGGGCGCTCATATTATAAGGTAAGGTTATAAAACAACCTTTTAAGATTATTTTAGTGAAAGTTTCATGTTGCTATCTCATATAATTTAAGAACAATGATGAATAAATCATTTTCGAGCAAAATTTAAATGGTCGGCTGAATATATTACCGCCGGAGAGACACGGCAGCGGAATTTAAATGAC